AAGTCTTGATACTCTTAGATTTCAGTGCCGATATCGTAGCACAGAGAACATTAATAGCACGTTAACTCAGAGGGACACTTCAATCGTAACGTCTCTAAATGCTGCCCCATTTGAGGTCCCTTGAACTATAAAATCCAGCACTGTTCTTGGCGAATTCGATTAACGACACGAACGACAGATATCGGGCGCATGCTATGATCGATACTCCGGGAAACCTGGAAAGTTTGCACAATGCCTGGCGGCACTCGCACTGGGACTTTCGGTTTCGAGAAGAGTGTATTGTCGTGTCGAGGTCCGGCGAATCCGCAAGCGGAGTAGACGAGTTCCAAACATGTCAATTCTGTCAAGAGCCGCGGCCGAGGTGGTCGAGTATGTGCGCATACACGCCTAGTTTGACCCCTCCTCCCTTGAACCAACTCCTGACAGACACGAAGGATAGAAGACGCGTTTCACACCGGATAAAAGGTTCTCGAAACGCGTCAGCAGGTTCTATCCCACGCGATGATCGTGCCTTGACCGAAGAGCGATTGCGAATCTAGACTCTAGAGACGCTCGATTCCCTTCTTTTTTTCCCCTCTCCCTGTATCGTATCAAAAATATTTGTCCTGAATTTTGTTGCCATCTGTATCTTCGATCGGAAACAGGTTTTATTTAGTTTGCTGGCGCAATCAAAAAGTAAGTACTCTAAGCGCGTGCGCAATAAAACTATCCTTTCGAAGAATATTAAAAATGACTCGCATAACTCATAGCAGTTCATATGAATCGCAAAAGCGTTGCAATACATCTTACTGTTACCGGGTAATTTGTTAATTTTCAACAAAAGTTCTTGACATAATACGTTTCTTTGCATATTATATAAAACGAAATCTATTTGATCGCTTGCACCATGCATCGCGCAGAATGTATCTTCTCATTTTTCAAAGTCAGCGCTGTGGATACCGCACGCAGCGAGATGGATCGTAGGAAGCTAAAAAGGGCGCTTTTGCAATTGAAATTACCACGATGGAGAATATTTTCGCTACGGACGCGGCACCTTGCCTCGGGCTCAAGGGATTAAAATAATAATAACGTTGGAAATTGGACACGGCCGCGGCGGCAGTACCCTCATAATCTTTGGCGGCCATATGCCGGTGTCAGCTGGAACGAAGCCAGACGAATGTAAAAAATGATCGCGCGCCTAATCTGCCATTGTGCGGGCTGAGTTGGACCCCGTCGGTCTCACTTTATTCAATTGCAACTCTGACTCTCTTTATGGTTTCACATTTCCTTTCGTGCACGTGATAGGGAGAGATCGTATTGGTTCTGCACGTGCTCTAGGATTCGCTTGGATGCCGATAAGCACTGCATAAATCTGCCATAAAGATCATCTGCCAACACGAGGAACGATTGTGCGGCTTCGTATCAATCTCAATGAAAATCACGAGCGGCAGATTAAATTTACAATCTATATATAAATTTTTCAAGAATAACCATCGGTTTTGTAATATTCCCGGGATACCATCGAAAATATAATATCACATCAAGATTTTGTATCTCAACAACCTCGTAATCCAATCGCGTTGACTTTTCTCACGAGAACGCGAAAATACATACATATTATGTTCGTGCTCACGGCTGAGCTTATTAAACTTGAATAACATTAACTTCATACCAATTCACGAGAATGCGAAGCGATTTCAAAAGCTATCACGATAAGAATAAAATTTCTAAAAATCTCTGATTGCTCACACAGTTATTCAAACTTTCATCGTCTCCTCATTTGCCTTCCAGCGAAAATTCTATTCAGCGCTCAGTAACTCATAATCTCTATTGTCGCAATTTATATTCAACCATCGATGCGGTTTGCTTCTTTGTCGAATGCACTACTTGCAAAGTTTATGGAAGAGTGATGTATACATTCAGACTGGTGAAAAGAAGTCAAAGACAAAATATATTTGAAAATATGAAACATTCTCATGAGTGCTTAATCTTTGCGTTATTTAGCAATATTTTGGATACAGAAAATAAGAGTTAATTAAATTTTTGATAAAATTCATTTTCCGACTATACATATACTGGAAGAAAAATAAAGTATATTGATAAGACATACATGATAAAATTACACTGTAGGATATATGAAATGAATTTTCCAGAAAGTCGGATTATTTATTGCTTGGACCGAAGCCGGATGTTTTGCAAATAACGATTAAAGGTTTTCGAGGGAAATGCATTTAGATGCAAAAACGTGTACACAAGACTAGGGAATTGGAGCATAAAGTGGACATATATAGAGAGGATTTAAAGAGCGAATCGTCCTCTCTTTACATATTGAGATCCATAAAGTTGGTAGGGTTTAAATCAACAGTGTCAACGATAGCTTGGCTCAAAATGGCGTATTCCAAATTTATCTCAGATGAACATAGAAACTAAAACAACGTTTATCCTCAAGATAATTTGTAGCTTCTCGTTTTAGCCTGACAAATAGCTCATTAACTAACTGCTCTTATTTTCATAAGACAATCACACGTGTATACGTTTTCTACAAACACACACACACACACACACACACACACACATTGCGCTAACTATAAAAAATAACCCGGATAATCATTTAGGAGGATAGGCTCTTGAATCAACAGAATAATTTATATGTCCGTATATTTGCGATGACAACAGTTTCTGCTTCCACGACCCTCCGTTTTTGTAAGCCTTTCTTTTTTATCAGATACAATGGCCTCGATAGCAAGATTTAACGATTCTAGGTCGCTGATACCCTCTAGTGGTGTTCTTAATTAAGAAATACTGTAAAGGTATTAGGCCGTTGCCGGAATCACCGAATTCAAATGGATGGTTTCCGCGAGTAGGGTCGTTAGAGCGTTATCACGCACCGTTAACAACCTCGATTAGCGATTGTATCGTCCCTCGAAGTTTCAGCGCACGTTCTTATGGGAATGCGTTGCAAGTAATTTACGATAAGTAGGCAGTGTGTTTGCGCACGTACGCCTCGTGGACGTCTTTTAATGACGGTAAATTACACGATGGTAAATATTTGTCGGAGAACTCAGCGGTGGCGGTAACGGCGCCATACGTTTCTCCAGCGCATCAATATTGAACGATTAATTATTTCTATTATGCACGTATCATATATAATTAATTAAGCAAATATTGGCATGAGATGCAATCGAAAATAATGCAACAATTATCGAATAATTATGCGAGATGGCGAAACTGGAAAGCCGCAGAAAATTCTAATTGCAACCGTTTAGCGAAATGTTGTGAAAATGACCGTACAAATAACGCGTTGACTAGGTTGACTGTACATATCTTACAGGAATAGTTTTGCTGAATGAACGTACAAAAGTGGGTACGACACGAGACATATTATTACTGCAATTCAGAATATATTTCCGTTTATACTCTGTATGCTTAATAAATAACGTTGCACTAAAGGGGCGAGTCTGGCTCTGCATAAATAGAACCTACGTCGCGCGACGACGTTTATCCCATTAACAATCGTGTGAGTTGCAGCGCGGCCAATTTTATCCGCGGGTCAGAAATAGAAGCGGCCGTCAGAATGCAACAGTTATATTAACTCGGATACAACGAGCGGCAGGTGCGGATGTCGTCTTCCGTACGCGGTGGACGATACAACTTCATTACAACGATAAGATCGAAATAACTCTCACGGGAATACCTATGTATTCGAGGAAACGAGCACGAATGCATTCAGATGAGATCGACGAAAAATGGGAAACGCGAGTATGCCGTGCTCGCGAGTGAATATAAATTTGAAAATCCCTCAGGAGGGGGGCACAGTCTAGTCGTGGTCTATCTGGGCCGATCTAACGACCTATGGGTGGCACATCGTTTTTGAATAAGTCCAACATTAGAGGGACCGTAACGTAACGTCGGTCGTTCCGCGGAGATAAAGCAAGATCGCAAGTTTCTGCATCCCCAGCGTCGCGGAGGTTCATGAAGGAAAGAGAACACGCGATAGGTTGGTTAGCGCATGAAGATATAGAAGAAAGAGAGAGGTCAGGAAAAGACAGAGAAGAGTGGAGAGGGGGGGCGAGAACAAGGGATAGATACGCGCAGGAAGAGTAGCTCTGTTCCAGAGTAAGAACCCCTTTCATTCCACGTCGGCCCCTTCTGATACCGTATAAAATATAGTATTGTTCGCGCTCTGTTAGCCCGGAGTGGAACGAGTATATTTAGAAAGGGGCTGCTTTCTTTCATATGTTAAGCAGATCAGTGTCGATGAGATAAAAAGAAGGAGAGGAAGAAGAGGAGTTGGCAAGAGCCGTCGACTCCGTTCTTTCGTGGTAACGGCTGGCCCGTGAATTTTACGCACTTTTAGGTCGACGTGCAAAGGACAACCGAATTGACTTGATATTCTTAAATAATTCAGAAGTTATAAAAAATGTATGAGATGTATTCTATTTTTCTTTTTTTTTTTACTGAAATCTCAAAGAGTCGAATCGCTTCTTAAATTTTCACAAAGCTTCGCGAAACTCAAGAAGAGTTAAATACTTTCTTTGCTTCAGAATTTGTTCCAAAGCACAAGAAGTCACATCAACGAAGACAATTGCAAAAGTTCTTTCCGTGAGCGCTTCATTCGCTAATATTAACATGCGGCTCCTCGCGCGAGTTGATCTTCGATGTTTCCGCGGTGCGGATTTCAACGAATCCGCGCTGGCCGATGGAACGAAAATGTCGAGCGCGCGTTACGTGCCGTGTAATTCCGACGAGTTTACGGTAGAGATAAGTCAGAGTTGACTTTAGCCGGATTACCGGCGAGGTCGGCAGGCGGTAGGGTGGCGCCTTACTCTATCCGGCCGTTATTATAAAAGTCGTAATGAAAATCTAACGATCCAATGAGCGCGCGCGGCGCAGCGCGGTTCGCGACAACGCGGCCGCAACGACGACGGCAGCGGATTCGCCGCGTTTCCGCAGCACGGAAAATGAATTTCGCCGCGCTACGACGTCGCACATTTAATCCCCTTATTTACTTTTGCTTTCAGAACACGTGCGGGAATTCAGCTGCGGCATGCTGTACTACAGGACGCTCTACCTGGACAGTAAGAGGGATGCCCTATACGTCGGAGCTATGTAAGTAGAACTTTTTCCGCGCTTCGTAATAAAATGTCACGCCATGAAAATCCCCGGGAAAAGTTGCGACGTTCCCTCGTCAAAGCCCGAGGACAGAGGTATTACGTCAGCGCGCCGAGCCCGTGTTACATACATATGTACGTGCCACGCTGCGGATTTTTACGATTGCTGTGATTAAAATTCTACAACGTGTGCGAAGCGCGGGGATCGTGCCGTTTGATTGAATTTTCCGATGTCATCGAGTAATCGGATAATCTGAACTTTGAGGGATTACCCGTTACACATGATATCAGCTTTCGGGATAATAATTATCGTTGCATAGATGATGGAATGACTCGCAGCGCTCCGCTTATTTAGAGAAAGAGAGAGAGAGAGAGAGAGATAATATTTAAAACATTTTCATTTTGCGATTCAGCTGTTTTAATTCACGGTTGTATACATATTTCTGTTTATTACTTTTGTTATTATTGTTCATGAAAACCGCGGGCTTATTTACTTGTCTGCCTTGCTTTATAGAAGATGATCAGAATCCTCTCGCTCTAAATGTTTCACTTTGCAGAAAGGCAATTTACTCGGAGCCTTTGAGCTGCGGAAGAAAACGGCAAGAAAAGCAAACATATAATACAAATCGAAACTGACGATCTCGGCAATTATGGTTGCCGAGGAAATGAAAAACGCCGTGTCAATAGGGATCAGAATTAATGAATTTGTTATTTCATCGTTGGAACGTAACAACCTTAGATATTGCATTCGAAATTGCATATTGTGAATTTACGCGTATCACAGACAATGACTTAATGCTGCGCGAATCTATTAATATTTCCTAATTTCTATCTCGATTTAAATCTCTCACGCATCTTAGCCGTAATTAAAAGTTCCACGAAAACTTCTCCACCGTTTCCTAGGTAGCAGTAATAATCCGTTAAATCGATCGTCTCTTTGCTATTCGTACGAGTATTGGGTTACTATTTTCTCAATGTGACTCGACAGAGGCGAAAGCTAAAGGGCCGATCCTATACCCGAGGCCGGCAGAAATTGCGGGGGAGAAAAGTCGCATCATTATCCCAGCGGAGTATTATTTCTTGATTCCCAGCCGCTTCTATCGACGCCACCCTTAGCGACCATCCCCGTTCTCCCCCATTCTCCTTTCTCTTTTGTGTTTCCTCCTTCCCCTTAATTTAGTAAATGCCAGTAAAATGTTACGAAGCCTTGGTAACAGAGATGTAACGGGGATACTCTACCAATGCTCGCGGATACGAAGAAATCTCGAGACAGACAGGATGCTTGTTTAATCCCTTTGTGAGGCGGAACACAGATCGTCTTATGAAGTTCTCTTACAATTTGAACATGCGAATATGTTCTCGTCATGAATGAGACAAGACGCTCAATTGACTTCCCTGCTTCGGAATCATTACAACGTAGCTTGCAGTACGTAGATAGCAAAATGATTACAATTTAATCTCTCTTTGAGAGAACAAATAAATATGTATAATATATATATATATATATAATGTGTTCTACACACAGGAGAGAGTTGCCGAATGCGTACTGGAATGCGTCTAAATCATACCTCATTAATATTTTATATTATTAATTAATATAGACAATATTTAGTAACAATAATATAAAATATATGAGAAATTA